GTCTAACTTTTTATGTTTGCAGTACTTCATGTATTTGCAGGGCGATTGCACCACTTAAATAAACTGAGCTATAAACGGAAGTTCTCACCTTTAGTTTTGGGTAAAATCCAGGTAGCAGCGCAGTGGATTTTCAGAGGACATCCGTTGAAGACTTTGGTGAAGCAGGCTCCCATCTGGTTGAACAGCAGAGGGATTTTAAAGCCCTTAAGTTGTGGAGCAGTCGTTAAAATCATGCTATGCTTTTTCTTTTGGTTAAAGCTAAAACTTGTCCATTGCTGCAGCTTTTCAGCAACAGTCTCTTCATTAGAATAAAGAATAAAATACATCAGTGCCTTGGATCATGAGGGAGGGTGGTAGGATAGAATCAGGTTCTGATGATTAGCAAACATTAGGAACTCTAGACGCTCCTATAGATGTCAGTGGTGTTTTATTGCAGGTTGCATGCGGTTAGAAATCACACTTACATGGACTTGAGGGGTGGGAGGAAGCCCATGACAATCAGCTCTCTAGAATTACAAAGGTTACAAACAACAGAACAAATGGAGTAATAATAAAGACCAACCAAAGGAAAACCGTTTCTGTTTCATTAGAACGTTATTAGGTTAGAAAATCACAGCGACGTTCTGCTGGTTCTGGTTTTATTAAACCCACCGAGTCCTCCGTCTTTTTCCGCAGCGTGCTCCACTCAGGGGACAGTGGGGTCTCTCTTTTGGGGGAGGAAACGGAGGAGGCGGGCCTTCGCTCTGCAGGTACGGGGTGCTGTGAGGGGAACCTCGGGTCACTGCAGCGCTGACTGATGTCCTGCGTGGCAGAACACCTGGAGAGGCCTGGAGGGGGGAGGGAGAAAACAGGGGGGGGGGGTCTGTCAGGATGTGTAAAGAACCGCAGATCCACCCAGGAAAGAGAAAAGCCAACTGTCTCAGCAGTGTTTCCCTGCTTAGACAAACAATTTAGACATTTTATCTAATCTTCTTTCACCCGTTGGGTTTAATTCTTTTATTAATGAAGCACATTCAAACTAAAGAACAGATGATGCTTTGATGCTCTTGATCACATCGAGGCGTTTCAGATGTTTCCTGACCATAAAGGAAGGATCTGTTAAAGTCAAGTCCTCAGGGCTTTAACCCTTTATAAGGCAAATTAGCGTTTTGATCCCCTGCATCCCCTCCGTCGCTCTGTGAGGTCTAGAAGCACAAGATCTAAATCCACCCAATCAGCAAAGATACTCCTACATAGCTGCACATTAATTAGATGAGCCCTTGAATGATAGATCACCTACTGGA